AAGCTTAGAAACTTAGCGATGAATCTATAAAAAGAGAAAAATTGAAAATCGATTTATTTCAGAAAATTTTATATTTCATTCAGAACCTGCATAATAATAATAAAAAATTTCCCACAATTTGTAAATTTATTTTAAAGAATTGTTAAGCATATCAAGATTTTGAGCAAGGTTTTTACTTGAACGTTTGCATCATTTTTTATTTTAGAAAAAAAACTATTAGATTCTGCAATTATTGGTAATTCTGCAATTTTTTCTTTGGTGAAATAAATTGAAGATAAATACTGTAAGAAATGAACAAAGGTGGCAGACGTTGTGTGGGAACAATTTCTCAGAGTGGAGAATAAAGAGAATCCGAAATGCAAATTTGCAAAATGTAAACACTGTGGAAATATTTAAGACTCAAAAGTGGAAACAATGAAAAAAAAACTCATTCTGTCCTGTCAGGTACCAAAGACAGTCAGAAATGCTAATGAGTGTAATTCAGAAGCAGTGGATAATAACTTTTTCAATGTTTTAAATGAGTATGAAATCATACAAAAAACCAGGATGAGATTCTCATATCATAAAAACTAGCAAGAGTTATATGAAAAACAATTACTTGTTGAAAAAAATTTTTATACCAACAATTTTGCCTTTAAGGTAGTATTTCATCACACTTTTAAGCCCACCAAAGCTCTTTCTGCAGAACTTATAGACAAAGTATCTGCAGAAGTAATAAGTGAAACAAAGAAAAATATTGAATGAAAACAAGTTACTCTGGTGGAAGACGGTTGAAGCAACATACATAATGATCCGATAATAGCAACTTGCATCAATAGTGAGAGAAAATTTTATTTTCTAGATTCAGTAGAAGCAGGTACTGTTACGAAAATTGCAAAATTTTACACAAAGTGATAGAAGATGCCATCACTAAAGAGAAAGAGGACTTTAATTGCAATGTAAAAGCTGTGGTAACATAGTTATAGAGAAAGCAAAAGATCTTTTGTTGGAAGATAACAATAATCTAGTGGTATATGGATGTATGTAAAACACTATAAGCAAGTTATGCAAAACATAGTGAAAGTTCATAAATTTTTTGAAATCATCACACACCAAGTGTATTGAAAGGAATACCAGGAACAGCCAAACCTCAACTGCTAGGAGATACAAGATGGAAGAGCCAGTTGACCTGTATTGAGACTTATCAGAAAAACAGACCAGCTTATCAACAGATAATTGCCTCATCTGAAGTGAAAATGGCTTGGAGTAGCAGCCCGGTCTGACCTTATATTTTCCAAATTTATTGCTATCAATGCCAAAGATTTGGGCCTTCTAAAACATCTTGTGCCCATTATTCTAGTACTCACCATGAAAACACTTCCTACCACCTGTTTGTATAAATTGCAAAGAGTGATCAAGTAGTTTACAAGAAAAGGAAATTCAGTCAATCAAACTCCTGTTAAGTCTTACATTTAACGAAGCCCCCGAATGGTAACTATTCTTACTTCCCATCCAAGTTTGTCGTATTCAGCGACAACTAAGATCTCATATCTCGATAAATACGCAAACAGACCACTTACCATTATCTACCTCACAAAACAGAAACCTCAATTTAACCTTTAGGAGACGGAGTACCCTACAGTTGTACCCTAAAAATAATTTCCCTTTAAGAAGGATGAATGTGTAGTACAACATTTGTATTACACATTTCTTTGCCCTTTCACTATCAAACTTACTCTTCACCTTTGGATGATAAGTGGTATAGGTAGTTCCCTCTCTATTGTTAAGGCAGCGGGGGTTTCGCGACATTTGGCATTTGAGGTTGGCATGTATTGACCATCGGTCTGAAATTAATGTAGCCAAATATTCTTCAGCTGTCTTTTCTGATTTCTCCTCTCTGTTAGTATGACTTTTATTTATGTTAGTATGAAAGTTACTTATAGTTATTATAAGTATAGTATAAAGTTAGTTATTATGTTAGTATGAAAGTTATTTTGGCAATTCCGATGGCTCCTCATAAGCGAGGTTTGAGTAATGAAGGGATACGCAAACTCTTACGCCCGTATTCACCATTGACCCTAACCCTCGGTCAGAGTTCAAAACAGGTTTTGTGGGAGCAACTCCAGGTTAGAGTGAAAAATCTCATTGCACCGTATACGTAACTGCGAGTTAATTTAACCCAGCGTTAAGTAATTTTAACCTGAAGATATTCCCGGTCAGTGTAACTGCGCATGCGCAGTAAACGAGTGTTTGTTTACTTCGTCGGTGTTATTTGTTTAGTTTTGTTTTTATATTTTAAGTATTTTTTTTATAATGGAAGATTATTCTTTAATTCAAGAATAAGAATTCTTAGAAAAGCTTGAGAATCGTAAGCAAAGAAATGTTGAAAATATTCGAATCTGCTCATTTGATGAGTTGGACGAGGCGAGTTTTAAAAAAAGACTTCGTCTGGACAAGGAAAGTGTTTCCTCTTTATTATCAATTATAGGCAAAGAATTAGAACAGTCATCGACATTGAATAATGCCTCATCGCCTCTAGAACAATTGCTTATTACACTCCGGTACTATGCTACCGGAAGTTTTCAGCTTCTTCTCGGAGATTGTTTTCAAGTAAGCCTGTCTACAATATGTCGAGTTATACACAGAGTTAGCAAAGTCCTTGCTTCTTTGTGTAAGGAATTTATTTTCTTCCCAAAGTCCAAAGAAGAATGTGAAGAGGTAAGAGAAATTAATTTTTTTAACTTGCTTATACATACAACGCAATTAATATCTATGAAATGCATTTTATAAATTATTTTTTGTTTATCACTTACATTCAAGGTTATGCTGTAAGTATGTAAGATATTCTGATTTACTAGATATTCAATTATGTTAAATATTAAAGTGATATTAAGTGAAAGTTAAAGTGATCATTATTTAATTGAAAAACACAACAACTATGTTCTATATTGTAACATCATCAATATATGGACAATATCGGGATGTTTCCTTATCATGATCTTTCGTGCCAACTATAATTGCTAAGGTGCCAATTAGATTTTAAACTTGCAATTTTTTAATAAAAACATGTTGATATTTGCCCAGGGGTGGCTACGATCTATACCTTTCGAGTTGGTCACTCTCTGTAATTTTTATCATGGGCCGTTGTCTGGAAATCCAAAGACTTGACGATTATTACGCCACAAATGAGGATACAGAAATCTGTCAGATAATATAGTTTGTGCCTCTGTGGATGCTATTATTTAATGTTTGGCTAACTTTTGTTTATTGGCAAATAAAAATAGCTACAGGTGGCGTAGTACAGAACTGTCTATCAAAAGGAGCACTTCACATGCACTCACCATTAGCATGTGGGGAGTTATAAAATAAGGGAGTACATTAGTTTCTACCTTAATGATTAAATGGATTATAAACTTTTAAGTTAGAAAACTTTTTGCGACTGAATACTACATAGATCTAAAAGAAAACGTTGCTAATATTCTAAAAAAATATTTTGAAAAGTAAATACGAAAAATATGAAGAAAGGAAAAAATTTCGTAGAACATTGATATGCAACTGAGATGAGGAGGGGTGGAAAGTCCTAGAGGATGTCAGGGTACACAAAGGGATGCCAAGCCAGTGAAAAAGAATTAATACAATTTTTTAGTTTCATTAATTAATTTTAAATTATTTGTACTCAAAAAGAAAAAATAATATCTTTATTTTTAAACAATCACACATTTGTTAGAACCTCTCGTATGAAAATTAACCAGTTATAGGTTAAGAAAAATAAATTCATTAGAAACTATAAGTTTTAAATTTTGTTCTTTACACCATTTACATTTAGAGATAAAAGTTATGAGCATTCTTAGCATCAGCCAAATTCAAAATTTCAGCCACTTCATATATCTGAATAATAGTACAAAAAAGTTCTCAATATCAATTGAGAGCAATTGAAAGTACTCAGACTTCACAAAATATTTAAACTAAAATTATATTCATTTACATTTTTTCCCCATTAGTTGTCTCAAAAGTTTTTCAACGTAGCTGGCTTTCTTGGAGTGCTAGGAGCAATAGATTGCTCACATGTGAGAATTCTCTCTCCTGGGCTGGTATTCTAAACAAACCACGAGTTGAAGTAGACCTTCCCCGAGTGACGCCTTCCCCTGACGTCACATCATCCACTGTTTTGAGCTTCGGTATTCTGAACTCGGATATCAGTGCAGTAGACTCGTGGACTGGTCTACTTCATGAGTAGAGTAGGGGTGAAGCTGTGTGAATTATGTGAATAGTGGAAAAGGGCCAGAAAAAAAATTAAAATATCAGAATTTTTAAGTGTCTTCAGAATTCTTGCTACACATCACTTTATGTTGTTAAACAGATGGTTTTCACTTTGCCTTCTGAAAGTTATGAATTTTCTTAATTATTGATTTAATAGAGGGTGAGTGAAGACATTTTTATTTAAGAAGGTAGTATCTATATGGATGCCCGGTGGCTGAGTGATAGGCCTTAACGATCCTCTGCCACATGTCCTGGGTTCGATCCTCGGGACCGGCAAGGTTGACTTAGCCTTTCACTCCTTTAGTGTGTCGACAAATGAGTACCAAGCATGCTTGGGAACTAAACACTGGGGGTTCCGCTTTCGACTAACCACCTGATCGGAACATCTGCACATGCACCCATCTCAGGAAAACTGAGATGGGCACAGTAGGCCTTGGCCCTCTATGGGCTGTCGTGCCACTGAGCTTAGTATTTATGTCACTCTATTTGTTTTGATAATTAAAGAATGTATAATTTGCAGTTTAAATTCTATTTTCAAGAAAGATTTTTATTTTGTTCTTCATTATTGATAATGATTTGAAGTTAAGTGACTCTGTTCTATTTATTTTAGACATGGATTAATTACAAATCCAATGTAAAGGCGAAGGCAAGCTCAATAAAAAAACAGTCAGAAAAAAACAGGAGGAGGCCCTGCGTCTGGAAAATCCTTAATTGATTTGGAATCAAGAACGGCAGCCCTGATAGATTCTTTGATTTATGGGATGCAGGAAATTGTTGATTCGTTTATTGAAAATGTGAGTACAAAATTTTTATATTATTTTTATACATTTGAACTCTTTTTTTTTTATATATATAAAGGTGGTCTATTTTTCTATTCCTTGTAAAAATTTTGTAAATTTCTATTTGTTGAAAAGCATATTTTATAAATGGTTTGATGTATAATACGTTAAATTTCAGGAAATGGATAGAATAAATTCATTTTTGAAGAAATATATTTTTTTTTGTTTCCAACAGGTTTGTTAAAGAAAGCTGCTAAGTACAGAAAAATCTCAATTGTAAAAGTTTTATCATTTATGTTTATGTCTGTTGCAAGACAATTTATGGCCGTCTGATTTGGATTTGTTATTAAACTAATTTTTTATTATACGGGTGAAATTTGATAAATACCAAATAAATAATGAAAAGATAAACATTACGATAAACATTATATGTACCTCTTTGTTACATGGAAAATGTTTTGAACTCTGTTTAACAAAATTTTTATAAAATTTTAGCTATAAGAAAAAATTCACTTTGAGAGATTTAAAATATTTAGTTATTAATTTGTGAAGCAATTTATGGACTACATATCACAATTACCATGTTCAGCAACATTAGTTTTATGTTAAAAAAGATTTTTCAAAGATTTGAAGCATAGTGAATTATAGTATAGTTTTACAGTTATAAAATACTTAATTATTCACTTAAGTATTTGTTTATATTCCATTTTCAGTTTTTATGGTAATATTAGAACCACTGTAGATTTAATTTGAACCTGAAATCTGACAAAAAGTGTTTAAAACTATTTCATTTTGCTGATCATGTCTTCTTTTTTTTTTTGGATAGCATAAATTGTTAATTACTAGTTTGGGCACAAAATCTTAATAATTTTCAAATCCTACTCATTTAAGACACAAAAATATAGCCATAATCTATAGGTCTTCTTTTCTTTGCAGCTACAGACCCCTTGTGGAAGCAAGAGGAAAAGCTCGCAAGAATGTGAAAATCCATAATTAAAAGGCCAAAGAGCAACAATGACACTCTGTTGCAAGATTTTCAGATTAATCAACAGAAAGTTCTCGAATCAAATGCTCAAATTGCTGAAAGTTTACAACGCATCGTTGTGAGCATAGAGAGACTGGTGGATGCGCTTGAAAATTCTGCCCGTACAATGACAAATGTAGGAAACTACATATGTGTAGCACTTGACAGACTATACAAATCACAGAATAATGAAAATTAGCACATTTTTTGTATTTGTATTTACATGTTATTTACATGCACAATTATGTATTTACATGTTATGCACTTGCTATTTTAAGCATAATGCCTCTATCACACGAGAGAAAAATAAGTGCAACCGTAAGTGTAACTGCAAGTGTAAATGTAACTCTAAGCGCAATTCCTCCGTTCGGAGTTGCCGAAAGGGTTGCTTAATTGCCTGAACGGTTGCATATAATTGGGTTACCATATTTTGTTGTTTATCTAAGCTTTGGCGACGGTTAGAATTTTATTTTATTATTCTCGTTTCTCTTCTAATATTTACACGTATGACTATTTTTTAATTAGTTATTACCAGAATTATACAGAATCCTGTAATATTGATATCAACGATGGAAAATAAAACAGCAAATGCAGCTATTGTTTCTTTAATTATTCACGGTTTAATTAAGAGAAAGAAAGAACGAAAAACATTTTGGTCAAAAAAATAGCTACTCAGAAGAACACAACTTGGATGTTATGAAAATCTTATGAGGGAATTAGCATTAGAAGTAAGTTAATTTTATTTTCATGAATTTGTGTTTTTTTTTTATTTACTATTATCACAAATTTTGCTTATTGTTTAATTTTTAAGGAATTAGCTCTTTTTTCAGAAGGTTTGTTTTTTTATTTAATGCGTAGAATATTTGCTATAATTTTAACACTTGTAGCCTATGCATTTTTTAGGTTCAAAAATTGCATTTAAAGTATTTATGATTTTAATTTAAAATTTGAGTAAAATTGAATAAAATAAAAGTTTAATGTATAATTTATTAAATTTCAGGCTTGATGCGATAAATGTA